GGGCTCGTCGTTGACGGGCGCGGGCGGGGGCGGCCGCAGCGGCAGGGCCTGGCTCTGGCGCAGGGCGATGGGCTTGTAGGGCCTGCGGGCAGCACGCTTGGTCTCCGAGGACGAGAGCAGCTTACGGATTTTCCTGTGAGCGCAGAGGGACCCCCGAGTGACAAGGACACACGGCTACCCCACGGTCCACCCGCCCCACCGGCCGAGGCCCCACCTGGTCTCCTCGGTGGCCATGTAAAACACGTCATCGGGGGCGTCGATCCAGTTCATCCTACGCCGCTTGACGGGGGGCAGGGAGCCCCCCCGGATGAGGCGCACTTTGGTGGGGTATGACTTCCCGTTGAGCAGGAGGTTCCGGCTTGGTCCCTGGGCGAGGGCAGGTGTGAGGGTGCTTCCCTGGGGCCTTCATGTGCGCCCCGCAACTCCGAGGGGTAGGGAGTACTCTGAGGGCTGAGGGCACCCCCCTGCCTGCCCCCCCTGGTCCCACTGAACCTCCTCCCGAAAGTCCAAGGGAGCTGTGTATGTGGGGCGGGCCCAGCCCTCCCTCTTACCATGTGCCTGGTCTGTCCGTGGTTCGCCAGGCCTGACAAGAGGGGAGCACAGGGTGTGAGGCACACTGCCTGGTGTGTCCCATATCCACACCCCGCGGAGGACCCTCAGCCTGCTCCAGGGAGGCAGGAACCCCTCCTGGGCCAACCCACCCACCAGCTACATCCCACACCCAGGCAGGGCCTGGCCCAGCCCAGCGGCCCCACAGCTCCCCGGCTCTGAGGGTCACCCGTCTCAGACCCGACAGCTTGCTCCCACACACAGGCCTCCAGCCACCGACTCAGCCAAGGCAAAGGCCGCCCGGTGTACATGGTGACCGGGCGTCGCCCAACACAGCTGCCAATAGTGGCACCAGAGAGCCCCTCACGGATGGCCACTCCTCGACCAGCACTGCTCAGATCCCAGGAGGCAGCTCCCTCACCGACCCCGGGCCTCTGCTGGGAGTCAGGACAGGAGCCTTCCCAGGTCACACCCTCTTGGCCCTGGACACCACCAGTGGCACCCGAGGCCCCAGACTCCCAAACGCATGTTGGGTGAGAACCTGAGCGGAAAGGCAGGGTCACCACCACCTCCCGCTGCCCATGTGTGAGCGTGTCCACATGTGAATGTGCCCACGTGTGTCCACATTTGAGTGTCCATGTATGAGAGCATGTCCATGTGAGTGCCTGCGTGTCCACGTGTCCACATTTAAATGTCAGAGTGTCCATGTGCCTGCTTGTGCATGTCCGTGTGTCCTTGTGTAAGTGTGTCCACGTGTGAGCAAACCGCCTTCTAACCTGCGATGCCCGGGTGGGTGTGGGGGCCACGGCACTACTTACCCAGGTAAGTGCCTATCAGAGCGATGGGTTGCAGAGAGAAGAAAACACACACGGAGCGTTAGAGGGAGCGCGCGCCCCATGGGAGGCCGGGGAAATGGGTGCAGAGTGAGGCGCACGGGTTAGTGAGTTAAGGTGCCAGGTGTGGCAGGCCCTGCCCAGAGCTCAGGGCCACATGCCCAACGGAAGTCGACATGGAAGCACCCCAATTTTGGAAAAACCCACAAGAGCACACGGACTTTATCCACCTTGCTCCTTAACTACTTTCTACAAAACAAGCCCAAAGCTCAAGGCACCTCCTGACGGGCACCTGACTCCCTGCCTGCAGGCTCCCCCAGGTGGCTCCTGGTGCCTGTCGGGGGGCAGGCGGCAGTGCCAGTCCTGCTGCAGGAACGGGGCACTGGGCAGCCCCCTCATGGAGACTACAGGGGCACTGGGGGCCGGGGCAGGTGAGATGGCAAAACCAGGAATGAGAACTGCTGGTGGCCCACAGGACGGGCCTACCAGGGCTCCCAGATGCGGCAGAGAGAAGGCGTGCCCAGGGGACAGGCTGGTTGGATGGCTACTACCTGCTGCCACCTCCCGGCCCCCATCCCTGCGCCCCGCCATTCCCCACGTCCCTGAGACGGCTGAGCCTGGTACACAGACTGCCTTGGCCAGTCCCCCAGAGGACCAGCAGCCTCCCAGTCCTGAGCTTGGGGAGGGCACCCTGGCACATCCACGCTGGCTGGCCCATGGTGCTGGGGTGCCACCAACCACCCACTGTCGGGCTGGCAGGAGCTCAGAGCACGTTCCCCGAATCCTTCCTTTCTGCATGGCTCCCCATCCACCTGCTGCAGGCTGACCCGACTGTGGGGGGCCGAGCCCCCAGAGCAGGTGCCCCTCCCAGCCCCAGGCTGATGCAGTCCCACAGGCCTCGACACCCCTTCTCTAAGTAAGGGGCAAAAGCTGGGCCTTGAGCCAGTGGGTGGGACCTGGACCACAGGGAGCCCCAACTCCTGCGGCCACTGCCAACCCCTCGCTTGATAGTGACAAGGCCTCCATCCCGCAGGCTCAGTCCCCTTCCCCAGAGGGTGCTGCAGCCCGGGTGCCCACTTGGGCCTAGCAGACCTTCCCCAGCCACGTCAACCACACCCACGGCTCCGTCCATCGACCCCCTCCCCCCGGCAGGGCGCACGCGAGCTGCAGGCACAGCGTGGGCGACCACGAGAGCTGAGGCTGAGGGCATGCGGGCGATCACAGTGCGATGGCAGACAGTACAGGCGGGCAGCTGGGGCACCAGGGCCACACGTGTGAGGACAGTCCACTGACCAGGCGCCGGGCCAGGGAGGGGGATGGCCTGAGAGCCAGAGGCACCGGGCCAGGAGACGGCATTTGGGGCCATTGTAGCCCCCGGGAAGCACTTGGTCCTTTGCCACGTGACAGCAAACTAGGGGGAGCGGGATGCGGCCTGGCCCACGTGGACTGCCCCGCGGACGTGCCCTGAGCCGCCTGCCGCGCCACGCACGCGCACACAGAGCTCCACACAGCGGCCACCCCAGGCCTTACCCCTACTGGGCATCAAGAGACGCTTCTTCATGTTGCCTGGCAGCGCCCGGCGGCGGGGGAGAGAGGGAGAGAGAACACAGTCAGCGGGCGCGGGCGCAGGGGCGAGGGGCCAG